AACTTCGAGTTGAACACGTCAAGACATCGAAGATACTTCGTCAAATTCAAATTGTCGGAGCAACTTATCGGCGAACTTGAAGCTATTCCTAACCATAAGCATTAATCAGCTACAGATCGCAACTTGAAAATACTGCTAGATGTCTTAAGAAAATAGGAAACTTGATAAAATTTCACATTGAACGATAAAAAGAAAGGAAAGATGAGCACAATTGACCACAATTGTCATTTTTAATATCCGTCGAGTGATAAATCAACATCTAATAGTTGTATATGTCGACAAAATTTTTATTTAAGAGGATACATAAGTTTAGAACAAGGAAAAGTAGGATAATTTTTGACAATTTAAAAATTTTTTTTAATTCAAACATTTTTATATATATCTACCATTTTTGTCTATTATCTAATAGACAAAATTGTTTTCCTTAAAAAGATGAAAAATCTAATCGTAGCCGATTTTAATAATATTAATTTCTCGCAAATGACAATCATCTAAATATGTAGTTTTTTTCTTTATTAAGAAATCATTCTTTTTAATTATAAAAATTAAATTACGACGTGTATATAAAAAAATCCTACGATAAAAATTAGTTTTTCATCTTTGTGAGGAAAAAATAAGCTATAAACATATATATAACAGTTAAAATTTTAAAAATTCACCAAAAAATCATCCTACTCTTCTTTGTTCCAAGTGTAACCCTTTAAAAACATATTATAAATTATAAATATCGTAAAAAGCGCGTGTTTTCGCTAAATCAGTTTTGCAAGCAATGACGTATAATGCAAAATTGCTTGTCAACGATTAAACGCGACGACCTAAAATGAACAATAGTCGCGTCCACGCATGCGCGCGGGTCAATCGAAATTCGAAATCGACAGCGCGTCTGACAGTTGTACGCCATGGGGATGAGACGTGCATATCCCTCCTTTCAATTTCAGCCCTCGAGCTGAATATAGCGATATCCATCGGCCCGTTCAACCTGCTTAGAATAAACCGCACTCATGCAAATCGAGGGCGTTAATTACGTCATGTCGCGTTAGACACATCATGTTGATCGCGAGGAATCGCGATTAATTGCGTTGCAACGAAATACATATATCGTCGAACTCGTTCGCCGGAAATTGCGTTCCTTTGTCCGTCAAGTATTTCATTTTCCCGAGGCGGGATGAGAAACAGCCCGGCTTTCTCTCGTCTCGAGCTTAACGATCAACCAATCTGTATCTCCGTTTACATTTGGATTCGCGACAAAGGCTCCATTCGTCTTCCGGCTCTTCCTCGGATCTCTGGAAGAGAAAAATCCCTCGATCCAGGACGAGAAGCAACCACTCCACATGTCTAACAATGGCGTCTCGTTCATCATATCAGCCGGACACGAATAATCCTCGCTCGCGACCCCGTGAGTTATGAAACGCGGAATAACAAATGTTTGTGCCTTCGCGTTCTCGCGTGACGTCGTGTGACGTCACGTGTCGAGTCGGGAAGTGCAACCGCGATTTGGGACGGAATATCGGCCTCGATATCGGAATCCTGGAATCTTCTCGCGCGCGACCCGCCCGAAATTTCATCGGATATACATTAAATAATATTGACTTTTTACAAAAATATCCAATATTCACAAATTTTGTGCAAGGCGAATTATGGAAAAAAAGCTAAATTATATCCTAATGAAATAATGATACCATACTTTTTGTATTTAGATGACTTTGAAATTAATAATCCTCTTGGATCTCACGCTAAGGTTCATTCAATTTGTAATGTTTACTATTCTTTCCCGTGTTTTCCGGTGGAAGAATCAAAATTGGAAAATGTATTTTTTGCTGCAACTATAAAATCTACTGATGTAAAAAATTATGGAAATGAAAAATGTTTTCAGTTTCTCATAAATGAATTAAAATATTTAGAAGTAAATGGTATAGACATTAAAATCGATGAAAACTCAATTGTACGCGTTCATTTTATCTTGGGTTTGGTGCTTGGAGATAATTTAGGATTAAATTCATTTTTATTTTAATAAATCGTTTTCAAGCAATTTCTTCTGTCGACTTTGTAAAGTAGAAAAAGTTGATTGTCAAAAACTAAACATTGAAAATAAGAATTGATGCGAACAATTACAAATTACGATGATGACTTAAAGATAAATAATTCACAACGCACTGGAATTAAAAATAATTCTTTATTAAATGATATTCCATCATTTCATGTAGTCGAAAACTATTATATGGACGTTATGCATGATATTTTTGAAGGAGTCTGCCACTATAATGTATGTCATGCAATTACTTATTTTACAATAAAAATGAAATACTTTGATCTAAAAATTTTAAATTCAAGAAAACAAAATTTGAATATGGATCAAAAGAAATTGAAAATATTTCAGGTGAAATTACACAATCACATGTAGAAAAAAAACATTTAAAAATGTCAGCTACAGAGATGATGACATTTATTATACATTTTCCTCTTATAGTTGGAGACTTAGTTCCACCTGATGATGAAGTCTGGAATTTTTTAATTAATTTTATTCAAATTATTGATATTATACTTTGCTTTGAAATTAACGAAATAAATATTCTTTTGTTAGAAAACAAAATTAAAAAGCATAATAGTGATTATATTAAATTATTTAATGATACGCTAAAGCCAAAGTTTCACAATTTAACTCATTATCCAACAATTATTCGTCAATGTGGACCTTTAAGGAAATTCTGGTGTTTTAAATATGAGGCAAAGCATCGGCAATTTAAAATGTACTCCCGTTGTATCACTTCTCGAAAAAACATTTGTCTTACATTAAGTAAAAAATACGAATTACAATTTGCATATCAATTAATGAAAATCGAAAATCCAGCAAGTCAAACTTTTAAATTCAATGATAAGTACAAAATATCGAGCAATTATCATTCTATTATTATTACAAAATTACAAAATGTTAATGAAGGAGATATAAAATTGTATTCTCGTATAGAGTTTAAGGGCGTTGAGTATAACAATAAAAACAACTATATAGCAACTTTTGGAAATGATGTTGAAATATATTTGATATTAGACATAATTTTATTTCGAAACAATGAAGTCTTATTTTTTTGTCAAAAGTTGCAAAGGATGCAATATAGACAACATTTTTTAGCGTATGAAATTGATGAAGCGATTTTAGGACAATTTTTTATAATATCTCCGAATGATATAATCGGACCTCCACTTACTTTAATAAAAACTGCTAAAGGTAAATCAATGATACGGATAAAAAAATATTATAAATCTATTATTATACCTACTTCTATGTAAGAATTAAAAGTTGTAAATTCAATAATGAATTGATAGTATATTATACGATTTTTGTACAATTTCTGTTTCGAACGAATAATGTCATATAATAATGTCAATAAAATAACAGACTAAACTATATATTTGGTTAAATTTCATGAAATTTTTACGTATAAAATTTAAAGAGTGCCCTATAAGATATGACTTTTATTTTTTAAGTGCATTTATTTTTGATAATGTAATTTAATTTTTACCCCTTGCTCTCTCAATTAAGATACCCCACACAAGAAGAAATGGAAACTCCTAATATAAATAATAATTCATCGGTACCTCAAGGTATCGAAAATATAAATCCTAGCACTTCTTCTCAAAATATTTATCAATATGATTTACCTGAAATTTTTGAAAATTATTCTTCAAAATTGACAGCTATTAGAGTAGATTCACAAATAAATGATCAAACTGATAATGAAAATTTGCAACATCTTTACAATGAAACTGCCCAACAAATTTTCCAAAACTTAAGTTCTCGAAATGAATTAATTGCACCACAAGATTCGTTTCAATTTATATATCAGGATAAAAGTAGAGACAGGGAGGAATTAAGATTGCTACTTCGAAGTTGGAATCAAGAAGAATTAGTGGATCATCTTCTAAGTAAGTATATATTTCTTGTACATCTATGTTTCAATATAAATAAATATAAATAAATAAATATAAATAAAATAAATAAATATATATATAAATTATTAAATATAAATATAAATAAATATAAATTTTTAGGTGAGAATGTTGTAATAAAAATTCTTAAAATTATAAAGCGACATCATATCGAAAACTTCTCAAATCATTCGATCTTGGCACTCAAATTTTATTTGAAAATAATTTAGAAAATTGGAGAAATTCTCTAAACCTTCCGCTGGAAATACCAAATACTTGCAACTTAAGTGCACCACCATCCCCATCAACTCTATCGACTGACTCTGTGCCTTCGACATCAGGATCTCGTTTTTCCCCTTATAGAAGATCGTCAACTTCAGACGAAACTAATAGTATGATAACGTTATCAACTATTTTAAATGAAACTCCAAAGGGTATTATGTTAGTAGAATACTACAAAAAATATGAAAAATTTGAAGATGAACAAAGATCATTATTGATCAATACTTGTGCGAATTTTTTTGAAGAAAATAATATTAAAATGTCGATGACAGCAAGTTATAAACTTGAAAAAGAAATATTGGAAAGATTTCCTACCGAAAAATTAGTAAGTTTATTTGAAATTTAAAATATAAAGATATATAATAATGACTAGATAAAGTTAATTATTTTTTCATTGAAAAAATCAAAGTACAATATCACTAATTACAATATTCATCTTTATAAAATTATTTATATTTAGGAATATTATCGAATAGGTAAACGTGGAAAATTATATAATAAATTTTCCAATTTAAAATCTTCAATTAAAACAGTAGTTGGGAAACATATTTTACCAAAAAAAACAGAAAATACAAAACTAACTCAACAGACTCAGAGAACATTTAGTAAGTACTTATTATGTTTGAAAATTACATGGAATAATGTTCAATATTTAGTTCCAGAAAATGATGCAGAAAGTTGCATTAATGCACTCAAATTTGACAGCCTGACATCGGAAGAGTTTGACAACTGTTGGAGAGCATGTGGCCAACATCGACTAAAAGAAATAAATAATCTTGCAAATACGGCAGCTATTTTGAAAAGTGGCCCTTCTATAGAAAGCCATCTGGCTTTAGATTGGTACTTAAATTAAATGGAAATTTAGAACTGACAAGCGAATTGATTCTTAAAATGTTTTACAGATTGACATGGATTTTAATGTCTTATTCGAAACGGGAAATGGCCTGTTAAATAAGTGGGAGACTTGCTTAAATAATCTTACATCATTTTTATGCAAAGATAATCACGTGAAAGATAAATCCATAAGAGCATACCTACAAATGTTGAAACAGGAGACACTTTCTGAAAGTAAATGATATTAATTTAATTAAAAATTTTTTAAATTTGTAACAAATTTTATTTCATTATTAAGCTGTTTAATATATTATATTATTTTGTCACTTGTATAACACATTCTTTATTTATTTAACTTAATTTGTATATAGATGGTCGTGATGCAATAGTTTTTTGGAGTCTCCATGGTTACTTGGTTCCAACCCAAAAAATTGTGAAAAAAGATTTGACTGGCAAAAAAAGTACTATAAAATTTACTATTAGAGATTCTCAGGAATCTTTTGTTTACTTTGGTAAATCTCATCAAGAAATAGAGGATCATCTTATGAATCTCAAAATAAAAAGGAATGCATTCAACCCTTCATTATGTGTGTTGGCGAAGATATTTCAAAAATAACAGATATTTATGTGTATTTCGATGATGTTAAGTATTCGTTTAACAGTTTTCTTAGGGCAGTTGATATATTATTTAAAAGTTTTCATGTATTTAATTTTAGTTTCCGACTGAAAGTTTAATGTTTTGGAATTTTATTGAATCGAATTTTTTTGAAATTAAATCTAATAATTCCTTTTCCAAAGTTCACGTATTAATAGAAAATCTCAAAACTGCATAAAAATATTAATCGTGTATGTTATTTTATCTTCTCATGTAACATAAATGTATACATCTACACAGAATAATATATTGAATAAAATTCTTTTGGAATAAAAATTCTTATTTTGTATTTATTCTATTATCCAAAATTAGCTTTAGAGTTGTGTTTTTTATTTTCGATTAACTTGAACTTCTTATTTAATTTCGAACTTTTGATGTCGCATTTAAAAATATACATTTAACATTACATTAATAATAATGTATATATTTTATAACTCAGTATATCTGATTCAATTTGTAACTACATATATTTATTACTTTACATTTAATATATTATTATTAATATATTAAAATAATATATTAATATAAATAAAAAATAAATAATAATATCAATAAACGTAATTGTTATATGATAAAATAATTAATGAATATATACATTAATATTAATAATATATAAAATGTCACTTAATTATATTATTCATTGATTCAATTAAGTTTTTAATAAATTTATTATACAATTTATTGTTTCAATGAAGTTTTTAATAAATCTATGAAAAATTCATTAATATAATACAATGAAGTAGTCAATCATATCATTTCATAATATCAACAAACGTGATCATAAAGTAATGAAATCATTTATCGAATTATGATTACATGTATTAATAATAATAAAATGCAATGCATAATTCAATTACATAATTCATTGAGTCAATAAAGTTTTTTTTATTATAATAAACCTATAGGAGATTTTTCAATGTACACATTTATTGTTACAATAAATCCTAGTAATAGTTTAATAATTCAAATTATCCTTTTATAAAACCTAAATCATTATGATAATAAGATAACTCATTGGACCAATTTAATGTATCTTTTCATTAATACGGTAAATGTTTTTATTAGATATATGTACAGTTTTGGTTGAGGACGCACAATGGCATGCGCGCGATTCGAACATATGATATGTAAATGCAAGCAGCCGTAACTAGCCGCGAGTTAGTTAACATCCGGGTTATAGTTCGCCAGGAGAAAGGGCCGGCGTCGCAATGCCGTGTATCACGTGGGGAATTGCGCGAAACACGTCGATGTTCATAGGATTTACTCCTATACAGGGTGTTTCAGAACTGTCGAAAAAGTTTTTCAGGGGATGCTGACCATTACTGTTTTATCGACTTTGAGTTCAAGGGTTTTTCTCTTTATTGTTATATAGATTCCAAAATCCTTCTCCACAATTAAAGTACTGATGATAATAAACGGGGAGGGCTGTAATTTCGTATAAAAAGCAATAACAGTTAAAAATTACAGTTATTTTATCGGTCTCTTGCAGCTCATAACAATACTTATTTAATACCAAAGTTCTGCAGTTTATTTGTGCACAAAATACGGCGCTCCTAATAGAGATGACATGAAAAAATAATACAGAAATAATAAAATGAGATTAAAAGCCTGTATCAAAAGATTCATACTTGAATCAATCATTGTGGAGGATTTTTCAATCTGTTGTGGCGATTATATCGTCACATATTCCCCAGTTTACATATATGCGAAACTTACGCGGGACGAAAGGAAAAGCGAGACGCGAGACAAAATAAACAAGTGGAAAGACACAACGGACAAGACGGGGAGACAAAGACGATAATCGAAACTCGAAACAATAACACAAGCGAAATTAAAAGGATGAGTCGAGAAGATTCTCGAAGGTCGTAGGAACGGGCAGGAAGAGAATAGATAGCGCGGGTTCGAGAGATTCGCCCCCGTCAGTTATCGCGTGCGGACGTGCGACCGAAGGAAAAGTCTGTACCGATTGAAAGTCGTAAAATTAAATGGATACGAACATTAAAAGGCCTCGATTCTTTTCACACACACACTCTCTTTCTTATATATGTGCATATTACATCCTGCACTGATCAATTGGCACGTCAGGTAGTTAAACTGTATATTCAATAACAAGCGAACCTAATCTAACTTAAAGTCGGTAAAACAGAACAACGGCATCCCTTCAATGACAGATTTCTGGTATCATTTGAGACGATTTTTCCTCAGCAAAAATCTCGAGATACCAATAATTTTCAAATTATAAGCAGTTGAAAATAAAGGCTTTTTGGAAACTAGGCCTTGTGGAAATAAAATATTAACAGAACTACATTCTTCAGTTAATTTTAGATAGAGTTTGCTTTAATAGAATTTTAATATAAGACTTACTTATAAAGATACGTAAAATTTATTTATTTATTTTATTAATAAAATTTTATTAATAAAAATATACAAGATCTTATTTGAAGAAAATTTTTTCTCATTGTCAGCAAAATATTGAGGCATCAATAATTTTTGAATATAAAAAAACTGTTAATCTCGGCTCGAATTATTGTGTTACAATAAAAATAAAATATCGACGGCAATCGGAGCCTATGCGGATGACATGCACAAAATTAATAAATTAAAATGAGATCTCAAATCAAACTCATTTATTAAGTTCTAAACGTTTCGACCCACTTCGGGTCTTCTTCAGTAGCTGCAAAATACAAAGAAACAAAAATAGAAGATAATCGGTACAATCAGAAAATTATAAAACTCGTATACATACAATCCGCAAATAAATTAAATATCATTCTCCTCCCTATTCAAACCGTCCGGCCGTCGGAGTGTCTCCCTAACGGTGACCATCGTCAGGAAGGAAGCAGAGCCGTGACTCCCTTACCAACACTAATCAACATGGTATAAATTAAACGTAGAACAATTCACAAGAATTAAAAATTAAAACCGGGAAGAACACTCACCCCGACAGTAAAAACAGAGAGAAGACGATGCTACACGTGACACATCACTCTAACGACTGTGCGGTATTCTACCTCGACACAGTCGATACATATATACGCAAAAAAAAATATAAAAATAAAATATGAAAATAAAAATAAAAACAACTAAACTAATCGGCACTCATGTCAAAAGTCTAACAAAAAACCCGGCTATGTAAAATCACAAAGCTAGATTTTGGTAAATTTTTCTATTAACAAATCAAGATTCTCATTTAATTTATCAGTGTCGCTATGTAAATTTAAACTATTCTTCTGACGTTTTATGTGGATCATTTCGGATATCAAACGTTTACCTAAAAAAGGCTCCTCGTCTAAGACTTTTACATCCTCCCAATTAAATTCATGGTTCAATAATCTATGTTCCGATATGACTGATAATTGTGACGCGTTTCTTTTTATGTTGTTGCGATGTTCTTTCATCCTAGTTTTCAACAATCTACCTGTCTGCCCTACGTACGACGCATCACAATCCATACAATCAATTTTATAAACTACATTATTATGGAGTTCCCTTGGTAACTTATCCTTGTGTACTTTAATGAATTTACGGAGACTGTTAATTGCTGTATATGATGGAATGACATCCAAATCACGTGTAATGTCCTCGATTCTCTTCGATACATTATTAATATACGGAATATTAAAGTACGAAACTTTTTTCTGCGTTGGAATCTTGTCATTGCATATATTTGCTCTATTGTTATGCAACTTATTATTATAGCGGAAGAACAACTTTTTTAACCGCGCTTGCAAAGTATGAAATATCAAATTGAGAGGATAATTATTAGACAAAAGAACTCCAATCATAGACTCAAAGTTACCTTTATGGAATTTCGGATGAGATAGCCAAAAAACTCTATCTATGAGGCTGATAATGGTGCCCTTTTTATGACAGAGAGGATGCTGCGATTCAAAATTTAAATATCTACCTGAATACGTCGGCTTATGAAACAAATCAAACTCAATGCTCCCATTATTTATAATAATGGTGACATCTAAAAAATTCAATCGGTTGTCAACCCCCTCCTCCATGGTGAACTGCAATCTAGGATGGAAAGAATTGAAAGTGTTTAAAACTATTTTAAGCATGGAGGGTGGGGCCGCCAACGCGATATCGTCAACATATCTAAAATAAAATGGAAATAACAATGGAATCGCAGCAATCGCTCTACTCTCCAAATCTTGCAACGTGATATCCGCAATGATCGGTGAGAGGGGGAACCCATAGGTGTGCCAAAAGTCTGTTGATAACATACATTATTAAACATAAAATAAGTCGAGTTCATAATAAAACGAATTGCCAATAAAAATTCATCTCGTGGAATAATACACTCTTTTTCAATATACCCCCATCTGTTAATTAAACTATCAATAGCCATATCCAATGGTACATTGGTGAACAATGATGCAACATCTAGTGAAACTAGCTTCACATCACTATCCACACATAAACCATTTAATTTGTTCACTAATTGAAAACTATCAGAAATAGCCGAATCAGGTTTCGGAATTGCCTTATATATTATCTTATGTAAAATTTTGCCAAGTAATAAAGAGGTGTATTCCTAGATGACACGATGACACGTAAAGGGCAATTCGGTTTATGCACCTTCGGCAGACCATACGCTCTCGGTAAAACCCCGTCCGTGCAGTTCAGGGATTTATATGTTGTTGAAGAAATGTAATTCTTCGTTTTCCATCTCATTAAAATTCCGTGTAATTGATTAATTAAGTTCCTAGTCGGATCTTTTTAACAACAGTATAAGTATCCCGGTCAGCCAGCAAATCACACATTTTGTCCATGTACATATCTCTATTTATCGCAACCGTGATATTACCCTTATCCGCCTTCATAAATAAAATATCGGGATTGTCTTGGATGAATTTACCCGTCAATTTGTAAGCCTTACAAAAACTA